ATACATGAACAAATGGAACAGAATAGAGGACAAAGAAACCTCCCCAGATACATTTACCTATTTGATCTTCAGCAAAAGGGCCAAAAGCAAGACAGCCTCTTCAATAAGTGGTGCTTGGAAAACTGGATAACGCAGAACATTGAAGCTGGACTATTATTTCTCTCTATGCATTAAATTAAAGACGAATCAAAGATATAAACAGTAAAACAGAAACACTGAACCTACTGGAAGATAAAATAGGTAAAACACTTAAACCTATAAGTGTGGGAAGGGATTTTCTAACTAAAATTGCAATTGCCCAAGCAATAACAGCAAAAATCAACAAGTGAGATTACATCAAATTGAAAAGCTTCTGTACAGCAAGGGAAGTAATTAATAGAGTGAACAGACAACATACAAAATAAGGGGGAAAAATTGCCAGCTACTCCTCAAACTAATATCTGGAATATATAAATGACTAATGTCTAGAATATTTAGAGAACTCAAAAAATTAGATCGTCTAACATAAAAGACCCAGTCAAGAAACAGTCAAATAAATAGACACTTCACAAAGGAAGAGGTACAAATGGTAAAAAAATATGTGAAAAAACCTTCAACATTGCTCATCATTAGAAATAATGGAAATTTTAAAAAATGTTAATGAATCCATCTTATTCCAGAAAGAGGGGCCTGGCCCTAGCTCAGTTCTTTAAGTGGCTGCTTCAGCAAAGCTTTCAGCCTCAGGTTGCTGTAGTTCAATCCCCACAACACTCCAGCCTGCCAAAACACCCCTGAGGGCATTCGGAGGGAAAAAAAAAATCCTTATTCCAGAAAGAATAGCAATCACCAAGAAATCAAAAAATAACAAATTCTGGTGAGGCTGTGGTGAAAAAGAAACCGTGCTACCTCATTGATGGGAATGTAATCTAGTACAACCATTATGGATATCAGCATGGAAATTTCTCAAAGAACTAAAATTAGAAATTTTATCTGACCCAGCTATCCCCCTTCTAGGAATCTTCCCCCAAAGAGCTAAAGACATCATACTGCAAAAATACATGCAAACCAATGTTTATAGCAGGATAACTCATAATGGCTATATCCTGGAAGCAGCCTGTATACCTGTCAACAAACAACAAGATAAAGAAAATGTAGCATCTATATATCATGGGATACCACTAAGTTATTTGAGTAGATATCTGCATTCCTATGTTCACTGCAACACTGTTTAAAATAACTAAGATATGGGAACAACCTACATGTCCGTTTACCAGTAAATGGGTAAACGAAATGTGTATACACACACACACACACACACACACACACACCCTAAGGGATTTGATTCAGCCTTTAAAAAGAAGGAAATCCATCCAAGTTCCATCCAAGATCATGGATGAACTTGGAGGATGTCATGCTAAGTAAAATAAGACAGATTCAGAAAGACCAGGTTACCAGGTTGGGGGGTAGATGCTGTTGGCCAAAGGACCTAACTTTCAGCTGGGAAATGAAGTGCTGCAGGCCTAGCATGCAGCATGATGACTTTACTCAATACTACATTGTGTACAATCGTTCTTCCATATCTATGGATTCCACATCCACAGATCAATCAACTGAAGATCAAGAATAGGTAAAAACTGTATCTGCACTAAACATATATTTTTTTTCTTGTCACTATTCCCTAAACTATGCAGTATAACAACTATTGACAGAATTTACATTCTATTAAGTTGTGTAAGTACTCTAGAGATAATTTAATGTACACTGGAGGATGTGTGTAGACTATATACAAATACTACATCGTTTCATATAAGGGACTTTCACAGCACATATTATGGTATCCAAGGAGGGTCCTGGAGCTAATTTCTACTGATACTGAGAGAAAACTGTACTTTAAATTTGCTAGATTAAATCTTAAGTATGTTCACAATACATACACACAAAATACCAATTGTGTGAGGCAATGGATGGTATTAAGCTTAATTGTGGCAAACATTTGATAACACATACAAACATCAACTCATCACATTAGACACCTCGAATATTTAAAAAAAAAAACCTGAGCTGAATGTGAAGATGCATGCCTGTAATCCCAGCACTCTGAAAGGCAGAGGCAGGAAAATGGTAAATTCAAGCCCAGCCTGGTAAATTTAGCCACTTAGTGAGATTCACTCTCAAAATAAAAAGGGGTGGGGATGTAGCTCAGTGCAAAGGCCCTGGGTTCCATTCTCAGTACTGGGGCATGGCGGGGAGCTGACCAAGGAGAAGCTGCCCATGGTGAGCAGAATCGTGCTCAGTGGAAACTGCTGAGGAGGGTTACACGATAATCTGCCAGCTGAGGAGAATCTGTTCCTCTCTCAGAAGTCTGGGAAGACTGGGTAGGAGGTGTGTGGTAAACAATCTGACCAGGTTTTCAAGCTGGGGAGAGGAGGTCATGGGGCCTCCTCATGCAGTGCAGGTGAGGGGCCCAGATCACTGGTGAACAGAGAGTCCCAAGCTGCACTCACTGTGGCCACAAAGGCTCTGGGCCCATAGCCATGAGTGCAGGTCTTCCAGGGGTCCTGCACTCCAGGCTTCGGGACAAGGGAGAGGGCCTAGGAGAGTTAGGCTGGGCGCTAGAGTGAGTGCTGGATGAGAAATCTGTACTAGGAAGATGCCTGCGTATAAAATGCCATATTTAAATATCCAAAATCAGAGGCAGGAGGATCCATAAATTCAAGCCTCACTTGGGCCGTGTAGTGACTTCATGAGAGCCTGTCTTAAGACCTTAAAAAGCAAGTCAGGTGCAGCCCTGTCAGCCCAGCATTTATTGAGGCAGGAGGATATCCACCACCCTGGGCTATGCAGGGAATTCAAGGCCTTACTATGAACTACCTAGTGAGACCCCATCACAAGGGAGGCAGGCTGGGGGTGTCCCTGTGCTCAGTAATCAAACTCAGGACCTGTGCTTTTGCTGCTTTGCCATTTTTTTTTTTTTTTATAAATTTCATTTCAAAAATTCCCACCTACTATGACTACAGAACAAACATAGGGTCAGGTTTGGATATAGTATGTGGAAGCAAATGGTAGGAAATGGCAACAGGGCAAAGACGAGGTAAAAGAGCTGAGAGATCCGGAAAGCTGATGCCCCCTGGCCAGGCTTCCTTGCTCACCCGGTAAGGACAGATCTTCAAGGGAAATCGGGGTGCAGGGCCCTCCAGGGGCTACCTGTTTGGCTTTTCTCACCAATACAACTCCACTATTCTGTGTTAAACAAGTGCCTCTATTCCCTCTTTCTTCTCTCTCCCTTCTTAGGCTGCAGGCCCTTTTCCGGGAGCCCTGTATCCCCCACCCCCACCCCGTGGAGTTGTGGGGGCGCTCCGCAGGGCTAGCCTCAGCCCCAGGGCCCTGCTCCTGCAGACCCAGGCCACCCCACAGCCCCCAGCTCACTCACCTTTGCAGCCCCTGTGCGCACCCGGCTGAGTCTGGAGGACCGGAACTGCCTCTCAAAAACCATCTGACTCGGGTCCGAAGTTGGCTCTGTGCCTGGCAGGGGTTTCTTTTCTGCACAGGTGAGATGTTCAGGACTAAAGAGAAAAGTAGAGAAAACGATCTCAAGTGCGCTCAATCAATGGCATCGTTTTGAATATGAATGTGATGCGTTCTGTGCTCACTTTGTGAGGAGAAAAGATGCACACAGTGGTGGCTGAGCGGCAACTTCTCCCAGAAGTCTGTGTGGAAGACCCGGGCCCCGCAGTGGTGTGGGGGCACCTTGAGCCCCGGGAGACATGACCTAACTGGACAGTCTTGGGTCATCAGGATGATGCCATGAGAGGGTCCTAGGGACCCTCAGCTCTTCTGATATCCCAGCCACAAGTTCTACTCTCACCAGTGGCTCAAAGCAACTGGGGCTTTGATGACAGACTTGAACCTCTGGAACTGGGAGTTAAAGAAAACATTTCTCTTTATAAGTCAGTTGCCTCAAGGATTTCTCCTTCCTGTAGCAATGCAAAAGTGACTCACAAAGGTCTGATCTCTCTGCCCACAACAGAAGCTGGCACTATCCCTAAGCAGGTGTGAGTCATGCAACCTTCTCCAACGTGGCTGAGGCCCAGAACCTGCATCATGAGAGGTGCAACAGAAGAGTAGCCAGGCATGCTCTGGGTGCTCAGACCAGCAAGTCAGACAGGAGGAGGTATCTGCTTTCCAACACAAGCATAAGAAAGCAGTGTGCAGTGAACACAGAGGAAGCAGGTTCGCAAGGAGAAGTGATGGGGAGAGCCGCGTGCACCCACAGAGGAAGGGACTGGCCTCTATCCTGCTACTAGCAGGCCAGCTTCCATCCTGGCCTTATCTTGGCCCCTCCCATCCCACCCCATTTTTTTTACTTGAAAGGAGTTTGCTTTTTGCAATCAAACTACCTCTGATTAACCCAGCCACATTGTCCCTTTTTTTGTCCTTTTCTTACTTCATCAGCCTCTGGCAGTGTCCTCTTGGGGTTGTCACCAGGACTGTCTCATTCCAGCTCCAGAGGCTCAGCCCTGTCTCAGGAAATGCACCATCATGTATGCATTTAGCAAGCATCTGCTCTACTCTGGGAACACTGAGATTAGCAAGCCACAGCCCCACCTTGCACAGCCTCCTACAGGAGTGTTGCCTTCCTTCTGCACAGAGGAGCAACACACACGATGCCCTGCAGGAGGGAAACTCACTTGACCCAGAGGTTCTTCCAGTTAATAGGTATTTTTTCTTCTTTAAGAAAACGGGGGCTGGGCATGCCAGGGAGAGAGCTCAATGGTCTAAAGTGCCTGCTTCACCAAGTGCAGGGACCTCTTTTTTTTTTTTTTTTTTTTTAGGGACCTCGTTTTGATCCCTGGCACCACATACCACTTCAGCCCCACTCCCAGAGCTGGCTGAGCCAGGCACCAGGAAAAAAACAAAAGGGGGTCCTGGGAGATAGCTCAGTGGCATAAGCACCTCCCTGTCAAGCACAAGGTCCTGAGTTCGATCCATGGTACTGAAAAAAAAAAAAAAAAAAAGAGAAATGTTTTGAGCTATGTCAGAAAGGTAATGGGACCCAGATCACGTGCTATGTTCAGGAGCTGGATTTGGATGAGGCTCTGGCCCTGCGCCTGCGGGACCACTCCGGACCAAAACTCAGGGACGCTGAGTGAGTGAGACCCTCTACCACGCCCTCAGGACCCCTCCACCCCTCCAGAGCCGCCACCCCCAAGCCTGCTGAGTAAGTGAGAACTTCTATTATACTCTCAGGATTCCCAGATCCAGCCCAAGCCCAGATTTGGCTAGTGTGTGGGAGAGCTTCTGCACTCCTCTATGCTCCCTAGGTCAGGGGCACAACAGAGGGGCACCACAGGTTCACTATTGTGCCAGAGGGGCACAACAGGTTCATTTCCAAGAGCTGTAGCAGGAAGGAGCTGAACACAACAACTAGACCCAGGCCGGGCATAACTGGATAAACTCAAACTTAATAGGTCTGCACCCGAATTTCAGTAGATGCTAAGGTTATAACTGCCCCAAAGCTCTACAACAAATGTCAGAGGTCAGTGCTACACAAAATGATAAAGACAAAGCAAAATGCAATCTCGAGGCCTTGAGTCCACCCATAAGAAGTGCAGAGGACACTAGCTCAGCTGAAATTAATGAATTAACAGTGTTGGAAGTAAAGAAACAACAGCAGAAAGGTATAAAGGAACTCAGAGCAGAATTAATTTCTAAAATACAAAAAGAATTCTCTGAGGGGGAACTACCCATTCAAGCCCCCCTCCTGTCCCTCTCTCAGACAGGAGCTTTCTTTCTCTCAAAAAATATATTCTGTTCATTTAAAAAAAAAAAGAATTCTCTGAATTCATAGCATCTGAAGTTAAAAAATCAAATACAGAAACATATGGAGGAAACCCAATCTGAAAAAAACACTGCAGTAAAAAGAATTAATAACTGCTTCTAAGGAACACATTGATAAAAAAAAATAGAGAATATTAGAAAAATGACAGATTCCTTGAATGAGCAATACAGGAAAGAAATAGATTGCATGAAACAGAGTCAAAGAGATATAGAGGAACATAAAATCTCAATCACAAGCCTGCAAAACCATTTGAGTGAAAGTGAAGACAGAGTTTCAGATCTTGAAGATGCCAGGGCAGCTAGTGAAAACATAAGAAAAGATCGCTTAAAAACAACTAGGATGCAGGAAAAAATAATTCATCACTTGCAAGACGATGCAAAGATGAACAATGTGAGACTAATAGGCATCAATGAGAAAGGAGACAATACAAATGACATTAAAACAATATGAGCAGAAATAATAGCAGAAAACTTCCCAAATATGAGGAAACAAGCTGAAATCCAGGTAACTGAAGCATAAAGAACACCAAGTAGCCTCAACACAATTAAAAACACACTGAGACATATAGTAGTCAGGATCCCAGAAATCCAGCACAAGAATAATATACTGAAAGCCACAACAGAACAGAAGCAAATCACATTCAAAGGAAAATCCATCAGAATTATAGCTGACTTCTCTTCACAAACCATGCAGGCAAGAAGAGCATGGAGCAGAGTACTTCAAGTCCTCTATGAAAACAAATTCCAGCCGAGACTACTATAACCTGCAAAACTCTCTTTCAAGTTGCATGGAGAAGTGAAATACTTCCATGACAAAGAACAGCTAAACAATTTCATGATGATAAAGCCAATCCTATACAGGCTCCCAAAAGATGTTCTAGAGAGGGACCAAAATTATCAGAACTCCACGAATGAGAATAAAAGCAACCAACTAAATAGGG